TTGCCTTAGACTTAGCCCTTGTGGGTGGAGATGCTCTAAGCAATGTATGACGATGAAGAAGTTATAAGATAGAAAATTTAAACACTTCTCTTCCACTTAATATCAGACTGCCATGGTCCTATCATTAAATCTTTTGCCTTCTTGCATTTCTTGGCTTGTCGTTCAATCCAATGAAAGTTTTCATTTTGAAAAAAAATATAAATTTCTAATTGCAATTAAGGTCTAGAACTTGAATTTTATAACTTCATCACAATTTTGGGAAGGAATCAGTTTTTTTCTATTACGTACTAGTCTTGCTAAATATCCCAAAAAGTTCATAAACATCTGCCATTGGCAAACAAGTTCTAAAACAAGTGCAGTCCTTATAATGAATATGCCTATAATAAACTGCAAGTTAATAAAAAAACCATAAAAATAATCAAGCAGTTAAGTTCTCTATGATCTCCAAATCTGTCTTCTTAGATGGAGACTTAAGACTAAATTTCCTTATTGTGTGGGTTGTCATAGAAGAAATGGGTTGCGATTCCATTAACAAGCTAGAGTTTGGTTGGTCTATTGCTGTATTTGCAATTCAATTTCAACAACCCACGTCAAGATTCCAAGAGACAGAGAAATATAGAGTATGGTAGGGTAGGGGGTTAGGGAAGGTGTGGTATAATTAGGTTAACTTTATATATAAAAATTCTGTTTTTTATATTTATTTTAAGTTATAACGAACAGACGAAAATACCTTAAACTCAACAGAAATTTTAATGGAGTTAGACATATGTGGTGAATTGCAATACTTTACAAAGTTTAGGTGGTTAAAATAAATATTAAAAGTTCAGGTCATAACAGCGCATATGTCTAAAAGTTCAAGTGGTATTTATGCAAATTTTCCAATAAATAAACAAATAAATTCTATTTTATTCACCATGTTCCAGAAACGACGAGTCGTCTGCATTTTTGCACTATTTCTTTCCTTTTAGTTATTTTTGTTGTTGTTGGATTCTTCCCTTTTAGTTTGAACTTACCAAGAATTGGGTAAGCTTCGACCAAAAAAGAAAAAAAAAGAGAGTAAGCTTTCTATTAATTAAGAAAAACAGAGCTTAATCGGAAAGGTTTTGTAATTAATTATTATATAACTTGACGTGTTCTGCAGCTCTTGAGCCATTCTCAGGTTCATTTTGAATCGATTGGAGGTAAAGAAGAATGTGGTTCCAGTAACCAATCAATCAAATCCCCATTTCTGAGACTCACAGGTCAGTTTCCGCCAAATCGTTTATTTTTTTGTCTTCTTATCAAATATGTTTTCTTTCTCTTGCGAACGGTGATTTATCGATTCGGTCAAATTAGGATTTCAATTCAACTGGTTAGGTTTGGTATTTGATCCACTTGGTTGCTGTGAAAAAAAAAAAAAGTTTCTACAAATAAAATCGAATTGAAATTGTTTCCTGACAATTGGTATGAATTTGCTTTTGAATTTTATTGGGTTCGAAGAAACTTCTGGGTTCTATATATTTTCGGGGATCGAAGACATAGCTTCGGTGACAAATGGCCATTCTGTGAATAACTTAAATGGGAAACTGGTATGAAGAACAAGAGAAATGAAAGAGAGAATGTTTCCCGAACTGTGTGACTTGGAATTGGATTTTTGGTCTTGTTGCTATTGCCTATTTTGTCGAATTGTGGCTTTTTAGTAGTGTACTGAGTGTTTTAAGTCAATGTGGATTTGACGAGTTCTGCTGCTACTAATGAGAAAAAGAGAAACTTTAACTTCAATTTCAATTTCTTTAAGGGCTTTATTTATTCAGAACTACTAGGTGAAAATATGGTAATTACATGCAATGCTATATGCTAAGCTACTAGATTGGAGAAACATATAAGTTCTTCCATTCCATAAAATTATAAAAGAATAAATGCAAGGTTAGAGAAAGAATGCCTCATCGAGAGGGGGAGGGTAGGAAACGTTTTGGCGGTGTTTGATTTGCAGATGGTAAGGGTAAATTTCAAATAGATTCTCCAAAATTAATCAGCTGTAGAAAAACCTATTGAAATTGCAAGCTTTATTGGTGGAAAGGGAAAGTTTGGTGTCCCTAGTTCTAGTCTTGGAGTCATAGCTGAAGGTGTAAGCTGGCTTGTATATTACTAAGATTGAGAAAGTGAATCCATTGTTCAACATACAAGCTGCTTGTTGGCTTATACCAGTCTTACTTATCTAAAATCCTTATGGTTCCATTTTAATTTTTCAGGCGACATTAGAATGGACCAGCCAGGTGTTGTATCAGAGGGGATCAATCAAATGGAACTGATCCAACAATCGCTTATATCTGGCCTTCCAGATGACATTGCTCTCTTTTGCCTGGCTAGGGTTCCCCGGAAGTATCATACACTCCTAAAGTGTGTTTCAAAAAGATGGAGAGACTTAGTGTGCAGTGAAGAGTGGCATTCTTACCGTCAAAAGCACAAACTTGTTGAGACTTGGATCTATGCTTTGTGTCGAGACAAGTTGGACCGACTTTGCTGTTATGTGTTGGATCCCAACTCATCAAGAAAGTCATGGAAGCTTGTTCATGGACTTCCGCCTCGAGTCTTGAAGAGAAAAGGCATGGGTTTCGAAGTGCTGGGAAACAAAGTTTACCTGTTGGGTGGTTGTGGTTGGTGTGAAGATGCTACCGGCGAGGTCTACCGTTATGATGTTTCCCTGAACGCTTGGAGTGAAGCTTGTCCATTATCCACTGCTAGGTAATACTTCTCACTTGTACTTTCTGCAGAGTTTTTCATGGGTTAAAGCTGGAATAATTTCTTCCAGGTTCAAATATATCACATCATCTGCTGAGAGAACACCATATTTCATGCAATGTTAAAGATTGGCGATTTCGTCTTTTGACCTGTCAGAGCATATAGATTTCTCATTATTGAATGCTGTCGTGATGAATAGTAAAAACTCTTGCAAATTAGTTTGCTCTTTGTTATTATTATAATTGTAAAGAGCCTTTGCTTTATTGGATTTGTGCATGCGGGTGCTATTTCGCCTGTGAAGTATTGGATGGAAAAATATATTCCATTGGTGGTTTAGGTTCAAATTCAAGCGATCCACATTCTTGGGACATCTATGACCCTTGCACGGATAGTTGGAAATTTCACTCTGACCCAAACATTGTCCCTGAAATTGAGGATTCTGTGGTCATGGGTGGGAAGATCTACATTCGCTGCGGGACTTCTGCTGTAACTTCTCATGTGTACGCTGTTGTTTATGAACCATCAAGTGGCACATGGCAGCATGCAGATGCCGACATGGTTGCCGGCTGGCGGGGTCCAGCAGTTGTCGTAGATGGGACCCTCTATGTGTTGGATCAGAGTTCAGGAACCAGGCTGATGATATGGCAGAAGGAGTCTAGGGAGTGGATTCCTGTTGGGAGGCTGTCATCCTTGCTCACCAGGCCGCCCTGTCAACTTGTAGCTATTGGGAAGAAATTTTACGTTGTAGGAAAGGGGCTTAGCACAGTCATGTTTGATGTTGAGAATGCAGGGAATATGGAAGGGGTGATGGTTAGTTCTTCAATACCTAAATTGAATTCTGATGATGATGTAATCAGCTGTAAATGTTTATCAATTTGATGTGAAATTATTGTTGCCGAAGGAGTCTTGGAAAACTACCATTGTATAATATCTTCAGTGTACATGCTTGGATGTATTTGGATATCTCATAAAAATGAAACTATTTATAAGAATTTTTGGTTTACCATTCTTGATTAAAAAGTATGAGAAGCTATTTATAACACTTGCACCGCTAGACATCCCCAAGGGTTTGAACTCGACGTGATTAGCTGTGGTGTTGTGGTAAGATTTGTGTATTTACTATATATAACGTCTAACTCAGGCGGTAGAGCGCAAGGCTCTTAATCTTGTGGTCGTGGGTTTGAGCCCCATGGTGGGCGCTTACAAATGTTTTACTTCTTTTTTCTTGTTCATACAGAGAAGAGAACCTTTAAAAATAAAAAAAAACAAAAAAAAACCTTTAAAAAATACTGGACTTTCAAAGTAAGTATTTTCTTTCTTACACAGACGGAAAGATAATGTTAGTAAAGTGCCTTTCCCAAATTGACAACACTTTCATTTCTGTGATTGAATCACTTAACTCAAATTATTCCATTGTTTTATCCATACGAGCAATACAGTAAAAGGCAATTTCTACATTTCCTACATTGAGATAACATGCTCGAGTCATAAAAAACCATGAGGTACACAAGAACATCATACCAAATACTTCATGGGTGAAGTTCCCATTAAGTTCTTACAAATAACGGTGCAACTCATTTACTATAAAATAAATGGTTCCTTTATTTCAGTGAGATCCCTTATCATCATCACTCTAGTACTCGAATGCTAGTACAAATAGCAGTCCTTCGTCTCGTCCATCTTCAACTGAAGGGAAAGAATGTCGTCTCAAAGGTGCCTGCGCTAAAGACGAAGGGAAACATAATTATAACCAGCGAACAAAATCATGCATGCATGTTTTTATATAGCAAAAGAAAGAAAGTTCATGTTTCCTTTCCTTGAAAAAAAAAATATTAATTATGTTCTGTAATATCTGCATGCATTTCGGGATAAAGAACAACAAACTTGCATCATTAAATTCCAAAAATAGTAATGTGAGAGAGATAGTAGTAATTACCATTTATCTAGTATTAGGCATCCTTTGCCTGATGATTTTTGCCTTCACGTACAACCAATCTGTGAAACAAGTCCATAAATTGAAGTATGTATATCTGCATGACCTGTTGAATAGAAGAGGGCCCAAAACTCCCCAAAATCCAACAGCAAACCCAAGCCCCAAGCTGATGTAAAATCCTTGCGTTATGAGCCCATCTTTAACTTCTTGATTCACCAACACAGTTTGTCTTGGACCTTTTTCCCCCTCATCGCATGTCCTTAGGAGTGGCAGTCCACAAAGTAGAGGATTTCCACCATAAGAAGATTGACCAAAGCTTTGGAGCTGGGTGCCTATTGGAATCTTTCCAGACAAGTCATTTTTTGACAAGTCCAAGTAACTAATACGAGGTATCTGAGATAGACTGTTTGGAATTCTACCATTAATCTGGTTTCTTGATAAATCAAGGGAATCTAACTCCTGCAACATTCCAATCCTTGGAGGTATTTGACCTGTTAATTGGTTTCTCGACAGGTTTAAAGAAATCAAACCAACAAGATCAGTGATTTCACTAGGAATCTCCCCAATCAACTTATTGCTTGAGAGATCAATACTCTTTACGAGTCCCAGAGTACTTTTGTATTTAGACCTTATCCCTTTCCATGTTAAAGATGCTTCATCATCATAACGCCAACCCAAAAGTACTCCTCCCAGCTGAGTCATATATAAATGTTTGATAGTTAGACTTGAATTTCCTTTTTGAGCCAAAACAATCAAATTGTTGAGACATTTGGGTATAGTTCCAGAGATGTTGTTCATCGACAAATCCAAAATTTGAATGCGTGTTAGATGGCATAATTGGGGCGGGATGCTTCTATAGAACTGATTACCTTGAAGGATTAATATAGCCAAATTTGGAAGACTAGCCCCTAACCATTCAGGTATTGAGCATGATAAGTTATTTTCCCCAAGATCAAAAAGTATCAACTTCGTACAATTCTTCAATTGTGAAGGCAACTCTCCCACAAATCTGTTGTTACCAAGTCTTAGTGTCTCGATATTGAACAAGTGCCCCATCGTGGTGGGAATTTTTCCAAATAAATAGTTATTGCTCAAATCAAGGAAGACTAATTTTTTAAAATGGATCCAACAATCAGGAAGTTCTCCAGATACATGATTGCTTGAGAGATCAAGAAAGGTTAAATTACTATCCTTGGTTGCACACAAAAAAGAGGCTCCCCCTGAAAAGTTATTATGGGAGAGATCTAGAACAGAAACTTTTGATAGAATTGAAGGGATTGGACCCTCCAATTGGTTCCAACTCAAATTTAGGTGCGATGCAAACTCCAATCTAATATTTCCAACTGTTCCTCTCAATTGATTGTGAGAGATATCCATAATCTCTAATTTTTGTGACAAATCCCAAAACCAACTTGGAATGGTATCAGAAATTCCAGCATCAGAAATATCAAGCCATGTATAATTTTTTTGAGTTTGAAGCCATTTTGGGAAAGACGATGGCCACATCTTACAAGACTTCAATTGTATGAATTGCAATTGGAAGGGAGGAATCCAATCAAAACTGAAGTTTAAAAGTAGTGAGTTAGATGATAAACTCAAATAACTTAATTTGGAGAGTTTTGAAAAATGAGTTTCTGAAATCACTCCTTCCAAAGAATTCCAACCAAAACCAATAGTCTCCAGCTTGGACATCTGTCCAATACTTTCAGGTATTCTTCCACTTAAGTTATTGCCCTCGAGAAACAAGCTTTTCAATGATAAGAAGTTCGTAAGATCAGGCAATGAACCCGAAATGTCAGGATTATGAGAGATATCCAAACTCTCCATTGTCTTTTGAGCGCATTTGGACAATGTTTGAACAAAGTCTGAAAGTTGTCCACTAAGACTATTATCCCCAAGGTCCAACACTCGCAGCCTACATAGCTTGGGAAAGGAATTCGGGAACCCTCCTTCAAGTTTGCAACCACTGAGAATAAGATATTCAAGAGAGCTCATGTTTCCAAAAGATGCAGGAATTGAGGAACCTCTGAAATTGTTCCAAGAGAGATAAAGATAAACAAGGTTGGTATGAGTACCGGACAACCATTGGAAGATTGAAGAGTTGAGATTGTTGCGGGAGAGATCAACAAGAACAAGAGAGTTAGAAGAATTCATGATAGAAACAGAGAATATAATTGGAGGAGGAAGATTACACCCATCTAATATCAAGTTTGTTAGCTTAGGAAGCATATTAACTGCTTCCAGCCAACCAACAACATCACTGAGATTAGTGGAACTTAGGTCCAAGTGTTTCAGCCCTGAAAGATTAGGGAGCCAATTGAGGTTTTTTGCATGAATAGAGTTCTTAGGGAGTATAACAGAATATCCATGAGAGCTGAGATCGAGATATTGCAAGTGTGTAAGGTTTCCAAGTTGGTTTGGAATTTGACCTCCAAAATTAGCAGAAGAGAGGTCGAGGTGTCTTAAATTGCTCAGAGATCCAATGAAATCTGGAATTTGGCTCCGACTCAAATTATTGAAACGAAGGTTCAAATATTCCAAATGTTGCAACTTCACGAGTTCAGGACTAATCTTACCCCGCAAAGATTGGTCTTCAAGATCAAGCTTAACAACATGGCCAGTTTGGTTGCTGCTACAGTAGACTCCTTCCCATTGGCAACAATTTCTGTTTTGGGCTTCTGTTCCCCATGAAAGGAGGCGATCGCCGTCGTCACCCACGAGGCCTTGTTTGAGTGCAAGGAGTGCTTGCCTGTCCCTCTCGCTACATCCAATGCAAGGACTGTTCATGTTTAGTAAAAGCACCACCACAATTGCACAGAGTTGTTTGAAGCAGCACCTTGCTTCAGCCATGTTAGCTACAGTCATGATCAAGACGGACAAGGGAAACTCTTTAGGAAAAAGATAAAGCACAACCAAAGTAAGCATACATGCAAAACTAGTGAAGTACATATATATGCTTGTATTGTATGATACCTCAAGATTGACGAAACAGGGTTGATACCTCAAGAATTCTGACAAAACGGCTTTCAGACTCTTTGAGATGAGAATCCAGAAGTCGGAAATGAAGTCTTAGACCACGCGAAATGTGAGAACTGTTCAGACTCTTTGTTAAAACATCATGCAATTTTAAAGGGACCTATGTAGTAAATGGTGGAGAAAGTCACGTGGCAGTAAATGATGGCAGAAATTGAAGAGAATTTTGTCTTCATTTTGCTGCTGCCAAAATAGGAATCAACTACCTATTGAACCAACTGCCTATCAATGGGCAGCAAGTGATTCATTTGAACAAAGACCAGGTAAGAGTTGAAACACAGGTGCATTGAGAGGCAGAGCCGGCCCGCCGGCCCTTGGCCAGGGCTACCAGGGCCACCGGCCGGGGCCCATGATTGAGAGGGGCAAAAAAAAATTTTCTATTAGCCTATATATACGTATATGATCAGAAAAAAATATATATATATATATGTAGTTGCCAAAAAAAAAAAAAAAGAAGTGCTCATAAAAAAAATAAAATAACTAAAAGCAATGGGTATGACATTGGAGTGGCCGGCATAAGAATTCTTTAGTCAAGAGAGAGCGCTAACATATCTTTTTTCTTTTCAGATTCTCTATGAAAACTGACGTGGTAGTCTACATTAATTGTTTTCCAAAATTTCATTGACCAAATTAAAATTTCGTGTAAAACTCAATGACAAAAAAAAACAATTAATATATTTTGTTTTTTTTATATTTAATATTTAATATTTTATTAATTAATCATTACATTAAAGGCTTTTATATAGCCAATGATCAGAAGTATAAACAATAACTAAGGACATGTTTACGTATCAGTAATGGAGAAACTAAGGAATCAAAGAATTTAGGAATCGGTGAACTACTGAATCGGTATGGGAAGAATCATTCTCATTAAGTTGTTTACTAAACATATGGAATTAGCAATGGGATGAGATTGATTCCCATTGTTATTGTTTACTAATTTGCATGAATCAGAATCCAAATTAATTTTAGAATTATGGTAAAGTGATAAGAGTATTTTTGGAAGTTATTAAGAGAAAACATGAATGAGAATCGTATCGAC